GTCATTGATTACTCACCCTCGTGTCGTTTTACACCCGTAAGACCTTCGTTCATCTTCGGAACTCAAATTAAGATAGTTTTGATTAAATCTGAGAAGTTTCTGACCCTGCATAGACAGCGACACAACTGAAATGTTCCCAGACCCAGAAACGTAATAAGGACATCAATATAACAGTACATGTGACATCAGTGGCTCAACTTCAATTTTGCAAAGCTATGAGAATACCTTTTGTGTGCAAAGAAAACAAAAATAACAGTTTATTCAACAATTCTTCTCCCCAAGTTAACGCTTTCCGCCATTTTGGAGAGTACCACGACGCATGTGCGCGCTTTCCGTTCAGCGTTGCTGACGTTCAGCATGCGCGCGCTTTCTCCTGAACATAAACAAATTATGTTTTTTTTTGTTTTCTTTGTGCACAAGGGGTGAGTAATTAATGACAGAATATTCATTTTTGAGTGAACTAACCCTTTCACTGCAGTCAAACAATAGACAAAACTGAATTTTTGAATAGTATACATTGTCTTATTATTAATATTTACAATTAATTTAATTTAATTTAATTAAAAAACAACTATTTAGTGCATTAAAAATAAAAATAAATCTAAGCAGCAAAACATTTCCAAATTATAGCATCTTCTTTAACATAAATAAAACTAATTTAATAAATTATAAAATTAAAAGTAAAAATTCATAAAATACTATTTAATGTTTATATAAAATATATTGTGTCTCATTTTAAAGATTTCATTTACATTTTAATTTCTTCCTTATTAAAAAGTGTTACTCAGAAAAGACAGCAAGTATTACATTAAACTTGTTTTACAAAAATATGCAACAAATTGTGTAATAAAACATTGATTTAAGTTGAAGTACATTGCTGACTTTTGTGTGCAGATGTATGACTGTAATCAGCAACAGCAGCTAATGCAGATGTATGTTGGATGTATTCTATGTATTCCCATTAGTTTTGAAATAAAAACAAAACAAATGCCACTGCAGTTGTAAAATGGCTCAGCAACATTCAAAGCAGTGCAATAAAATGATAATGCAGAAATATCAAAAAGCCTTCACCACCTCCAGAATCGCAGTATCAGCCTAGTTAACAAAAATATATTCTAACATTTTGCTAACATTATAAAACATTATTTCGGAATGTTCTCTAAATGTTTAAAACATGCATTTAAAAAAAAAATGTTTTAAAAGAACATTCCCTGTTAGCAGGAAATTAAACATTCAGGAATTTTGCTCAGATACACTGTACAAAAAATTCCGTAAAATTTACGGTAAAAAAACGGCAGCTGTGGTTGCCAGAATTTTACCGTAAAAAATATG